CTGAAGCATAACAGGTTGAATTTAACCACCACTGTAGCTTTTGTGGTCTTAGTCTCAGAGCCACAATGCAGTCTGATTGTGTCAGTCAGCTTTTAACAGAGTCGAAGGGTAACAATATGTCTGGAGCATTTTAGCTTCATAAATGTCACCAACTGCTTTTCAATGGCTGTTACTTTTGGATAAACCACAAACAGACAATTATGCACATTCTTTCAGAATTGCTTTTATAAATTGGAGATTTCTGAAGATTTCCAAGTAAGAATGTGTGTCTTCCACAAAGGAAGGTAATTAGATAGTAAAATCATCTTTTTTGTAAATCTTTTTTTCAGAACATATCTTTGGTTTGAATCCATGTCACCACATTGACAGTCTTTAATGCATTTGAAATGTTTTTACATTGTAAATGACACCTGGGTGGTTCATACACGACCACCTGGATCGAGGAAAATTACATCTGCAGTGTGTTATTACAGTCAAGTGGGGGGTCATGATTTGTTATTTTAAAGCTGGCTTCTTCAACTTCATATAATGTATACTTTCATGCTTTCTGTTCTGCCTTTTACTTTTATATTGGAACACCTATGCGCCAAATAATGTCTAGGATTTATCCTTGACATTTTATTCAGTTGTGCTGTGTCTGTTTATCATTGGAAGTTAGATGTAACTTTGTATGGTACAAAGAAAGCTAAAATTCACAAATATCCTCAAGCACTTGGTATTTGTTGGTTTAAAATTAAAATTACACTGAGAAATAAGCTGTTGATACAATTTGGCTCTGGAATTTTTCGGCCCTGACTCGTGAAATTAGGAACTAAAAGTTGAATCATTTTATGCTGTAATTAGTTGTGGATAGTTAATTAGTGAATGAACCAAATGTAGGATCATGCAGGGAATAGAAGGTCTTTTTTTTGGATGCTGTTACTGTGTTTAAAGTACGAGAGGAAAGGGGCATTTATGAAATACCTTTAAAGGAAAGGGTGTTTTCTACCACAAAATATGAGTGTGATTCTTTCATAGTGAGAGAGTGCATGATTTTTACTGCAAAAAAAAAACCTACTCTGTTATACTCTGACATCATGCTCCTGCTAGGGGGAGGACAGGAATCATTATTTAAGTGCTCTTTTTAAAATCCTTATATCATAGTTTTTAAAAGCTAGTCAAAAGTGTCTAAAGTGAGTATGGGAAGGTCAGAGCTTTGCACACCAATAAGTCTATAAACCCAGACAGATAGAATGAATAGAATGAAATAGAACAGAATAGAATAGAAAATTAATTTATTGACCACAGATGGGAATATTTCTGTGCAATAGTAGCAAAGTGACATGCATTTAGAGTAAAAAATATTTATATAAATTTATAATTTATATAAATATATAATATAATGTAAAACTATAAAATAGAATAACTACTAAAAAAACTGTATGGTAAGGTTTAAAAAAATCATCAATTATTTGCAGTTATATAAAAAACAATTTAGATACATTTTAACATGCTGATATTTTTTGATTGGCACATTTAAAAACAAAAAATACTTCAATTGGTTCTCAATGGCAACAAAAGATTTTACTAAGCTCTTTTCTTTGTCTTTGTCAAAATTATCAGGACATTTTCACAAAAAAAAACAGAAGTGCATCAAGCTGAAAACAGACACATTTTGTTGTTGCAAATGTGCAACAAATTGCCTTTGGTTTGGATGCATGTACCTCATTGTGCACCTGTGTGCATGTTTTTGCATACTTATTTCATGCTGGCTGCTGGCCCTTTGCAGATAAAGCCTGGTCTTTTGGGGGCCCACTTGTGGCAGACTGATATTGCCTCTCAGTTATGCCAAGGAGCTTAGGGACTTGCGTGGACCCCCAGGCGCCAGTCCAACACAATTAAGAACAAGAAAAGCAGCATGTGTGCTGTAAATAGAGACCAAAGGCCACAGTCTCTGTCTTGTTTGTATTGTTCTGAAACCCCTTTTCCAGTCTAGACAGTGTGGAAAATTGTTCTGATATTAAATATTTACACTTCTTCCCCACAGCTCAGTGGGTAATATTGACTGTCCTTTACTTTGGTGCTGAGAAATGGGTTCAAATTTCCTGTAAGTTTTCAAAAGTTACTGTCCACCTCTTTTGCATGAGTCAATGTATTCTCCTTCATCATCACACCCATTAAAGAGAGAGGTAATCAGGGTAGAATTTCTGGTTTACTATTTCTTTCTGACAAATATTTTCATCTCAAGGCTCAGTTAAATCTTTACTATTGGTATAAATAATAAAGAGGGCTCTGTGTAGAAAATGAAACAAATAAAATGACTCCCAAAATGAAAATACTGTGATGTATCCATCAAATGCATTTTGTATGAGATACAAAGTGTGCCCATCCAAATCTAAGATGATGAGCATTTTTTCCCATGGAAACTGTGGGAATATTCAACTAGCTGATATAGTCAGACTAAAACAACAACAAAAACTGTCTAGTTAGGGGAACATGACCTGAGACATAAAACTGAGATTATTATATGTTGCGTCATTTCTATGAACTTGAAATATACAGGCTTTTAAAGCTGTTGCAATACAGATTATTTCAAATTCCGTCTCGAGGATCCACTACTCATTACTACTTTGCCATTGCTAAAAATATCATACCCGTGATGTTTATAAGGTTTCAAAGGTTTCCAAAAGAAATGTGTTTTTTAACTGAATGTTTTTATCAGAGAAAGATTTTTGGAAAAGGTTTTCATTAGAATGTAACTTTTGTTTTACCTCACTTAGTTTCATTTAAGAACAAAAAAGATCCCAAATAGTTACCAGTTAAAGGAAAAAATTAAAAATTCCAGTTTTGGTTTTTAAAACATGCAAGAAATAGCATCCCTTGAAATAAATACATACTTATGTTATATGCTCCTCATGTTTTGGGTTTTGAGTTAAAATAGAGGGCTGCAAATAATATCAAAATGTCTTATAGAAGGTTCTAGAAAAGTGGTATAAAATAGAAAAGAGTTAAAAGACATGTGAAAATACAAAAGACTGAAAACACAAAAAATCCCTCTCACAGTTTGTAAGGTGTTATCAGTGAGGCTAAACACCTGCCTGTGTGGGTATTACTGGTTGCAGAGGGAGTGGAGGTTCTCATCACGAGCATGGTAGTGATTATCTGCTTTCCAAGGCCATTGACACAATACCGGATGGCCTGCTGATAGCTGTGGCAGCTGCTGTTTTCATCCCCTTAAAGGAGCCAACATGTGCAAAAGAAATATTAACAAAGGTAGACCATATTCAAGATCTATACAAATTTTACTGCACATGCATCTTATCAGTCTTTTGCTGAATTATTCATTCGTCCAGTTTTCTTTAAAGCGCAAAGCTGTTGAGTCAATTTTCCAAAATTAGCTGTTTCTTCTTTTTTTATAGAAACAGCAAAAAAAAAAAAAAAAAAAAAAAAAAAAAATTGGTTGGGTTCTGAGTCAGATATTGAACACTAAAATCTTGTCTATTATTAATTTTGCTGGTTCAGTAAATAAGAAATTCAAATATAAAATGACTTATGATTATTTATTAAATACTTTTCCTAATAAATGCCAACCAGGGTGAATCATTAAAAGAATGTCTGATTCCAGTCCTGACCTTATTTGTACCTCTTAAATACAATAAAAAATAATGATAAAGATAATAGTTTTGACAAATTTCAAAGCTGAAGTTCCTCTCACAGATCTTTAGTATTACAATGGTGAGAGTCTCAAATTTGGGAGTCATTGGTTGGAATTGTATAAATTTCTTCTGAAAGTATTAAATACACAGGAGTGTGCACTCATAATATGCTTTACTCTTAATACTGTAATTTTCACATAACTGTATTGGCAAATTTAGATATTTCAATCAGGATGTGGCGGTGGTGCAGTGGATAAGCATATAGAGAAGCTTTGCTCCTTGCAGGTTCAAATCCTGGCCTGTTGACCCTTGTCTTCCCTCTCTCTAATACTTTTTTCTGTCTGCCTACTTTCAAAAATAATAAAACAAAACACCACTAGGGCCTAAAAAACCATCTTCAAGGAAAAATTACCCAGAGTGACACACATTCATTTTAGATCTATTCTAGAAATCAGTTGATCATTTGGCCATGTCATTTTTTCCCAAGCACACTGTAACACTTTTATCATAGTTATAGCAAATTCTAAAAAATATTAGCTTAAGATGCAGACTAGGAACAGGAAGCAGTGGCTTGTTTGTGCTAATAGGGTTAGAAGTAGCATTATTAGAGTGTACCTGTTGATGGGCTTGAAATGCAATGCGAGATGTGCAGAAACATCAGGTTGTGTACCTGACAGTTATTGAGGGGATGGGGTTTGTTTGTCCTCAGCCTCAGTGGGTATCCACCTTTCACAGTTTCATGGAGTGAGCACAACTGATTGACATCTCAGCAGTGAAAGAAGGATTAAAGGTGATTTTGTGGTTGTTAGTGTTTGTGTGGTTGGAAGTATTGATTCATACTTCTATTCCTTATTCAGAGGCTGTGGTGAAGCTGGGCTCAAGTGGTGAATCAAAGTGCAGCCAACTACATTTAGAGTTTTATCATTTACATAGAAATGTGAAACAGAAAAGCTGTTATTAACCTTTTCTCTGTATGCGCTGTGTGTGCAAAAATAAAACAAAAATAAGAGAACTATACACGTCTTTCAGTAAAAACAGTCACGGATAAAGCCTTTGATTTATTCGAATTTCTGCCTTGGAGCTCTTCAAAAACCATATACAATGCCATTGTTATCTTTGAAAGCCATCTGTGTTTTGTTTTGAAGCACATTGCTTCCTGAAAGATTTCACACACCTCTGCTTTTGTTGTCTGATGAGATTCTAGTTGTTAAAAAGAAAGATAAAAATTTTATGATGACGTGTTCATGAATTATTGCTTCACATCACAATAACCATCACAGCTCTCTCGTACTCTTGCGTCCTGTGCTTTCCTTAAACATGCATAATTAGCAAACAGCTACGTTTCTTCTCTTTTTCCCCGTTTAGGGTCTCGTCTCCGCCAGGAAGACTTCCCTCCCCGGATTGTAGAGCACCCCTCCGATCTTATCGTGTCCAAAGGGGAACCAGCTACGCTAAACTGTAAGGCAGAGGGCCGTCCAACCCCAACAGTGGAATGGTACAAAGATGGCGAACGCGTTGAGACGGACAAAGACAACCCACGCTCCCATCGTATGCTGCTGCCCAGTGGGTCCCTCTTTTTTCTACGCATCATCCACGGACGACGAAGCAAGCCAGATGATGGCAGCTATGTCTGCGTGGCCCGAAACTATCTGGGTCAGGCAATCAGTCACAATGCATCCCTGGAAGTAGCTAGTAAGTACCGCTGTGTTCTGTTTGAGTTTGCTGATGTGACCATTTTCTAAGAACACAATAAAAAGCATCAAATATGTAGTATAATATCATGTTCTCAGTACAAAGTCATACCATCTTTTTCACAGTTTTGCCACATTTACCTTAAAATCAAGATTTGTTATAGACAAACACAAAGTAATCCATAACTAAAAGTGAAATGTTAATGACAAATAGCTACCCCGATTTTCGCAAATAAAGATATGAAAAGTTTGGAATGCATTTGCAGGGAAGTATGTGTATCTGGGTGCACAAATACATTGGCCATAACTGTCTAAGATTCAGACCCTGACCTTGGGACCGTTGAGGCATGACTGTCCTACAGTAGTTCTCTGTCTGCCCATTTCGTATCAGATTTATTTACTTAGGGGTCAAAATAAAAAATAAAAAGATTTTGTGCAAATTGTGTTTAGCCCATTTTACCCTGATAGCTTAACACAAATATTAGGCATGCCCGTTACAATAATACTGGCTAAACACAATTTGCACTTGCCGAAAAATCCTCTTAAACCTGAAACCATAAGCTTTTAATGGCAGCAGGAACAGCTCAGTGACACGTGTCTAACCGGGTGAAACGACTCGGCAAGCGACCTGCATTTATTAATGTGATACCATTGAGGTCAACGTATGGACTTCTACACACCGTGCCAGCCGAAACAAGTCTGAAAACTGGTAAAAGGAATTCGGACAGATAAAAGAGCGAAACAATAAAGCACACTTACTAGGCCCTGCCTTCCTTACAAGTCGGTTTCCATTGTTTACTTTCCTGATTTCTGTCGCACTGGTGACATCATCAAGGCTAACACAACGTGATGATATCACCAGACATACAGTGGCAGGAGGACAGAGGCCAAGCAGCTTGCTAGCTGGGGTCAGACCCAGCTTTTCTTGCGATTGGGAAGGGAGCCAAATGCGGATTGTTAGCTGGTTGACCCATGTTTGAAAACCACATGTTAACCCTCTTTTTTCAGTGGGAAAGAGGCTTAAGTTTAAGTGGTGGTTTGTTAAAGACCAGTACTAAAAACAGCACAATAGAGTATATGGGAGACAGGTCAAGCTTTAAATTCTAAAGGAGTTAGGTTATGAAATAATATCAGAAGGTTTTAATATATTGGTCAAACATAAAACCTGTTGTCATTGAAATATAGTCTTCAGATGACCTGTTTAATCACAAAGCATATAAAAGAAAATGCCCCTGTGTGACCATAACAAGGGTAAGCTTTTAGTGAAAAAATACTTTGTTGGAATAAAAACATTACACATCGTAGTGAGCATGTCGCAGGTATAATGCAGACATTTTTGATTTATACTCAATATTGAAGCGTGGTCTGCGCTATGGGGGAAAATCACGAACTAGCTGTGGGTCTAGATACGGCCGAGGCGGTAAGGAAATGGGGCAAGTTTGTCCTACAACGGAGGGACATGAGGGCGAAAAAGAGCGGGGATCCAGGTGGAAAAAGGGTCTCAGTGTTCTCACGCACCTCGCTCTTCTAGCTGGTCCAACTCCATGAGTCGTTTTCCCGCAATGGCAGTCATACAAACAAAATAAGCTGGTAAGGTACCAAACAGGAGATATGCATAGCGTAGAGCGGATGTAGATTTGACCAATCAGAGGCCTCCTGTCTGTGGCACTGTGGCACCTACAATTTGGGAGAGGTGCAGCAGAGTGTCTGCGGAGGGGGCAGGGACGTCTCTGCGTTCAACGTGACATCTATGCAGATGACCTAGTTTCGGAGTGTAAATCAACCTTAAGCATACAGGAAGGCCTAAAATAGTATAAATCAAGACATGTTGATGTCAGGATTAGGGTTGTCACGATACTAAACTTTTTAACTTGATACCGATACTAAGGAAAATATTCGATACTCGATACCATTTTCGATACCACAAGGATAAAAACAAAGACTCCAAAATTCAACAGAAATATTTTCATTAATAAATAAAATACAATAAATAAATACAATAAACAATAAGAACAATATTTTGAGGTTGTATGCTGTGCACAATATTAAGCAAGCTTGATAAACAACAATGACACTAGCCTAACCGATAAAGAAACAAAAATAATTCTCAGCAGCTGCACCTCTTACAAAAAAAGTCTGAAACTGAAAAATGCACAGAATTATTCAATCACACAGTGTTCAGATTTGTGCATTTTTTCTCTATTCTGCACTTTAGATGAATGCACTGTATCGATACTTTTGAAAATGAGTATTGTATCCGGATACAACGTTTCAGTACCAATACTTTTTTGAGTATCAATACTTTTGACAACCCTAGTCAGGGTGTTCACAGTCACTCTACATCCAGTCCAACTAAGAAAAGATTAATTACCAATAATAGTTGTGTTTGAAGGTGCTACATACACCTCCCTTTATTTGATTTTTTATATGCATCACCCCCCCACCCCTTCATAGTAATGTTCTTCTGTGTGTTGCTGTATAACAAATTTTCCAATTAAAATACATTGATATCTTAGGTGTAATGCTATTTTATTTCACTTGTTGAATCCCTTTATGGACAAGTTATGTCACTAAGGCTTATGGGTTAGCTCTGTGGGTAAGAGGTGGAAGATTAATCTCAGACATATAGTAGTCCTACATCTGTGTCAGAGCAAAATTAAAAATTGCACTCAATGTATAGTAACAGGTTGAGCTCTTGTTGCATCGAAGCACTTGTAAAAGTGTGACATTCAATGAGTTCAACAGGCTTATTGTCAAACATGAATCCAGCAGATGGCTAACACCTACTATAAAATTGTATATGTTAAATACAGAGATGAAGAAAAAAGGGAAGAAGGGAGCAATATGAAATCTTTGGAGATGTGTTCCAAGCAAAAAGCACATATGGAAAAAAAAATCCCATAGGAGCAAAGGTTTTCCAAATCCAAAAACACTGGGATCAGCCTGGATAATAACACACATAAAGAAGGCACTGATTGAGGGAGGTATTAGTGACAAGGGTTAACAACTAGAGCCATGCCCTCGCACAGAGGGTTCTTCATCATTCATGCCTCTGCTTTGCTTAGCTGTGTCAGCTTCCACTGTTTCCATGATGTCTCAGTCTCCAGGGCCTGCATCAAGGCTTTGGAATAATGATACCCCTCCAGTGCAAGTTTTACCTTTTGCATCATAATGAAGTAGATGGTCAAACTGTATCAAAGTAATGCTAGATCAGCACTTCAACTGAAGAAGCCAAGGCCGCTGGGGGGGAAGAGTTTATTACTTGTAGTTCACAAAATTTACTGCCAGGCTTTAGGGTCGAGGAGGAACACAGAGGATACTTGTTGAAGCTGCTTGGATGAATTATATTTCCTTACTTTATCCTCAGGAGGTCTCACAGATTCATGGGTCACCTCTAGGCTAGCTGGTAAAACAGACCTGCTTTTGGCACAAGGTGCTTTGACAAAGAGATCTGATGAAATGGAAAATGCAAAGGAATGTCTTAACTTACATGTATGTTGATGTTCTTCGCTTAGTTTTTCTTTTGAGCTTAGTTTTTAAAAAATATTATAATCAGGTCAAGCACTTACACAAGTTAGCAGCTAGTTCAGCGCAAATTATATTGGTTAATCTGTTGAAATATGTGTTTGGACCAACCAGTGAATGCCAGATTTTATACTGTTCTATACTCGCAACAGCACTTTAGTTCATGGGTCAAACTTAGTACAATAGTTTTTTATACATTTTCACATTTGGACTTTGCAACATTGCTGCCATCAATATGTCAAATATTAATTTTCTTTAAGTTTTAATTTACTTTAAAACTCTTGCTTACAAAAGAATTGGAAAAGGACCTAGTATGTGTAAATAATTTAGTGGTTGAGAATTTAAAATCTAACTTTTCAGAAAGGGTTTAATGAAAACAGTAATTGTTTGGAGAAAGACATAGGATCAGTTCGTGACCATTTTTTTTTGGAAAGATTAGAATTTTTGTTACCAATAAACACATCATCCCCACAGTGAAGTGGTGTTGAGGTTAAGTAAGGGTTACCAGAAACATGCTGCTAGTAAATGCTTATTTTCAAATTGTTGTCTACATAACCAGCTTGACAAAAAAATTCATACAGAATATTCCATCTTTATTTCCTGACTTTTTTTCCTATTATGTTGTAGCTTATGATCTGTTTAAAGCAACCTCAAGCTTATTATTTAGAGACACATTTTTTAATGATACTGCCAGGTGTGGCCAAAACACAGAATCCAGCATACAATGGTGTCTAAGTTGCACTTGATGTCATTCCCTTCTTAGTAACCACAAAATCCTTGTTGAATATAACACTTTTATTCTTTGCTAGGGGATTTATAAAAGAGTTCATTTTGTTTATCCCTGTCCCACGTTCCCGATTTAGACAGCATATGTCTGACGTCCCAGAGTCTCCTAAAATGCTGGCATATGCTGAACTTTTTATGTATTTATTCAATTTTCGGCGTATACATAGCATATTCATAACTAGTCTAGAGTGTATGTCGAACGACAGCTTAACTTATTCATAACGTACAGCAGCGCAATGCCCATGAAATGTCACAAGCCAGTGTCCCGAGGGGGGCAGCGATGCACCCGGAAGCGCCTGGCCTGCATAAAAAAAAGATGTCTTTGATCGTGGTATTAACCTAGCTGCTGTTTATCACCCACCAAAAAAAAAAAAAAAAGAAATGAAAGAAATTGGAGTCGTAGCAGATTCAGCTTCATATCTGCTAGCAAGTTTGTTGGCCGACGGCATGAATCCAGGGAGGATCCATCACACACACCTCCTCACTCACCCTATGATGGGGATGCAGTCTGAGGGATAACTGACGGTTTCCTTCTGTGAACCCCCTTTCATACCAAAACGCTTCCAATACGCCATTATACAGTAAAGCTGTAAGTTAGAAACACGTTCAGCGGCCGTCTGGAACACGTCAGATACGCTGATACATGTTGGAGATAGGTTCTTGATAAGCTTTGTATGCTATTCACAGGTT